CCCGCGGCTCAGGCAATCCACTCACCTCAGCCTCCCAAAGGCGCGGGATTACAGGCTGAGCCACCGAGCCCAGCTGAAAAGTATGTTTTATTTTTGAGTCGGAGTCTCATCTTACTTTGTTGCCCAGGCTGTAGTGCGGTGGCATGATCACAGCTACCACAGCCTCAACCTGCTAGGCTCAGGTGATTCCTCTGCCTCAGTCTTTCAGGTAGCTGGGACTAGGCACATGCCACCACACCTGGCTATTTTTAAAAAATTTATTGTAGAGATGAGTCCTCACTATGTTGCCTAGGCTGGTCTTGAACTCCTGGACTCAAGCAATTCTCTTGCCTCTGCCTCCAAAGTGCTAGGATTATAGGCGTGAGCCAATGCACCTGCCCAAAATGTGTGTTTTCTTTTTTTTTTAAAGCTTTTCAGATTTATTCAATGTTTGCCTTTTCATGTGTGTTTTCAAAACTTAAATCTACAGCTAATTCAAATCTATATAACAATACACACCCAGAGAGAAAGTTTATATAGAGAATGTTGTAACGTTATATATGTGGGGGTATGTGTGTGTGTGTGTGTGTGTGTGTGTGTGTGTGTGTGTGTACAAAAAAACTCTATATAAGCATTTCACAGTAGAAATATGAGGAGAATACAGTAGTCCAGACCAGGCACGGTGGCTCATGCCTATAACCCCAGCACTTTGGGAAGCCGAGATGAGAGGATTGCCTGATCCCACGGGTTCAAGACCCACCTGGGTAACTTGGTGAGACCTCATCTCTACAATAAATAAAAAAATTGTCTGGGCATGGTGGCACATACCTATAGTCCCAACTACTTGGAAGGCTGAAGTGGAAGGATTGCCTGAGCCCAGCAGGCAGAGGCTGCAGTGGCTGTGAGCGTGCCATTGCACTCCAGACTGGGAGACAGAGCGAGACTCCAACTCAAAAAAAAAAAAGAGAATACAGTCCGGTAGTCCCCTCTTATCCACGATTTTGCTTTCTGTGGTTTCAGTTATTGGCAGTCAACTATGGCTCAAAAAATACTCCATGGAAAAGGAAATCTTGTGCCATCCTACTCCAACCTGCCTGGAATGTGAATCACTCCTTCATCCAGTGTATCCAGGTTGTACATGCTGCTCACTACTCACCTGTGAGTCACTTAGTAGCCTTCTGGGTGAGTAGATAGACTGTCGAGGTATCACAGTGCTTGTGTTCAAGTAAACTTTGTTTGACTTCATAATGGTCCCAAGGCCCGAGAGTAGTGAAGCTGGCATATTGTTATAATTGTTCTTTACTTATTTTTTTTTTGTTTTGAGTTGGAGTCTCACTCTGTTGCCCAGACTGAAGTCCAGTGGCTGCTCCCGGCCACCGCAGCCTCGACCTGCTGGCTCCGGCGATCCTTTCGCCTCAGCCTTCCAAGTAGCTGGAACTACAGGCACGCGCTACCATGCCCGGCTAATGTTTTGATTTATTGTAGAGATGAGGTCTTGCCAAGTTGCCCAGGCGGGTCTCGAACCCGCGGGCTCAGGCAATTCACTCACCTCAGCCTCCCAAAGGCGCGGGATTACAGGCTGAGCCACCGAGCCCGGCCTATTCTTTATTTTTTAATAAAGAACATAATTAATCTTTTACTGGGCCTAGTTTATAATTTAACTTTGTCATAGGTGTGTATGTATAGGAAAAAATATAGCATATATAGGGTTCAAGGACCATCTGAGCTTTCAAGCATCCCCAGGGGGCTTGGTACATATCTCCCAAGGATTAGAGGGTGCTGCTATACTGTGGTTTGATGGAGCTGAAAAGTTCAACTCAGAGAAACTTCAGGAGCAGGGCACATGTCTTCCTGGGTCAGTGCTGAATTTCCGCTGTCTCCTGCAGTTCCTGGTCCACAGAGGAGCCCCTGATCGAGGAACCCACACAAGCCTCACCTTGCCTCACTTCCTGTTGGTGTTTAGGTAGAATATCTTTGTTTGTTTGTTTGTTTTTGAGTTGAAGTCTCACTCTGTCGCCCAGACTGGACTCCGGCGATCCTTCCGCCTCAGCCTTCCAAGTAGCTGGAACTACAGGCACATGCTACCACACCCGGCTCATTTTTGATTTATTGTAGAGATGAGGTCTCGCCAAGTTGCCCAGGCAGGTCTCGAACCCGCGGGCTCAGGCAATCCACTCACCTCAGCCTCCCAAAGCGTGGGATTAAAGGCTGAGCCACCGAGCCCGGCCAGAATATCTTTGAATTTTAATGTTTTAGTTTGTGTTTTCATAGCTTCATATTTTTGTTTTGGTAAACCACTGCTTTCATGGTTCTTTTTTTTTTTTTTTTTTTGAGTTGGAGTCTAGTCTCATTCTGTCGACCAGGCTGGAGTGTAGTGTCATGCTCATGTCCACCCCAGCCTCAACTTGCTGGGCTCAGGAGATCCTTCCACCTCAACCTTCCAAGTAGCTGGAACCACAGGCATGCACCACCACACCTGGCTAATTTTTTGATTTATTGTAGAGAAGTCTTGCCTTTTTGCTCAGGCTGGTCTCGAATCCCTGAGCTCAGGTAATCCTCTTGCCTCTGCCTCCAAAGTGCTGGGATTACAGGGATGAACCACCGTGCCTGGCCTACTTTCATGTTTTATATTCGTTGATTCTGCAGACAAGCCTGAGCATGTTACAGAGAAGAAAAAAAAGGCCAAGGAACTAGGATTGTACCCAAACTTGCACAGCTGTTTACTAAAACAGTCATACTATGATAACTGCCATTCACTGGGCCTCTCCTCTGTCCCAGGCACCATGCTAGGTTCTGCACCTATATAGTATCATTTAATTGAATCCTTATAACAAGCCTCTGTGGTGATATCATGATCCTCACTTTATAGAGGTGGCTCACGCCTGTAATCCCAGAACTTTGGGAGGTGGAGGCAAGAGGATTGCCTGAGCTCAGGGGTTTGAGACCAACATGAACAACATGGTGAGACTTCATCTCTATAATAAATACATTTTTAAAAAATTAGCCAGGCATGGTGGCACATGTCTGTAGTTCCAGCTACTTGGAAGGCTGGGGCGGAAGGATCACCTGAGCCAAGTGGAGGCTGCGGTGACCATTAGCAGTGCACCACTGCACTCCTGCCTGGGTGACAGAGTGAGACGCTAACTCAAAAAAAAAAAAAGAAAAGAAAACACCTAGACTCAAAGAGGTAAACAAGTATGTTTAAAGCTTATTAAGTCAAAGGGCTAGAACCTGGGTCTCTTGATTTCTGTCTTGCTTTTTCCTCTCTAAGTGGATCCTTTTTAAAGCTCTAGGGCAAACTTTAGATTGTAGCTGAATCACCGGAGGTTTGTTAATACACAGAGTTCTGGCTTGGTAGGACTGGAACAGAGAGTCTGCATTT